TCTATAAATAGAATAGAAGAGTCATTTTACTCCATTTTAGTTCTTAAAATGCTTAAATACTAAAACGTAAGACAAAATTTTTATTAGTAAATATAAACTCTAATCACTGATCTATAAACTCAAACATAATTTATATAATATGCTGCAAATATCTCGTACTGTACTATAGATTGTATGGAACATTTATAAATAGTATAGCAGGAACAATTTACTCCATTCCTATTAGTTTTTATTATGCTTAAATACTAAAACGTAAAAAAATCAACTTACTAAATTTAAACCCTAATCACTGATCAATAAACCCAGATAGAATCTATATAATATGATACAAATTTCTCATTATGTACAAGATATAGTATGGAACATCTATAAGTAGAATAGAAGAGTGATTTTACTCCATTTTAGTTCTTAAAATGCTTAAATACGAAAACGTAAGAAAAATTCGTAATTACTTAATCTAAACCCTAATCACTGATCTATAAACCCAAATATAATTCATATAATATTCTGAAAATGTCTCGTTCCGTACTAGATATAGTCTGTCAATCGATTCCATCTCAAATAGAATAGTTTAAACATGTAATTCTTCTATTCTATCTCAAATAAAATAGTCATAACAGATCTCACACAGTGAGGAGAATTGGTTATGTATATAATGGTATATAGAAATGAATCTTTATGTAAAACTAAACAAGCTTGGATAACAAATGGAAATGTATAAGATATAAATATACAATTCCATGTGAAATAGAAACTATGCTTTGTTATTCAATTTCATTCCACTTCGCATGGATAGATCTACAACAGACATTACTATATACAGACAACTAAGCAACTATGTAATGCTAACACTATTCCACACAACAATCAATCCGAGGATAATAAACCCGGTTATGTATCTCAGATTAAAAAACCCACAATTCAAACTTAAGAAAGAATAATAATGTACATGGGAATCCTAACCGACTATGAAAACAGATCCGACAATTTAATTCGAGAAAGTTGTAGATTTAACAATTATAGTACCCTAGTTCCGAGTAAATCCAAAATAGAAGATAAAATAACATCAGATGAAGAGAAGGGAAAGTTAAAACCTAAGAACTTATAGTGGGTGTAGAGATTCGAGAAGAATCGAGTGTGAGAATTGGAATTGACACGGGTTGTTGAGCGGCGCCGCTGCGGAGTTACCACCATCGATTGTGAGACGATTTCAGCACCGAAGTAGAGGCCAAAGTTGATAAGCACAAAGGATACGTGAAATTTGAGGGGAAGGAGGTGAGAAGACGGGGTTACTGCATTTGTCTTTGAGACCTTTCAATTTTGAAGAAGGAATGAAGATAAGTGAAAAGAGAGATGTGGAGGACAATTACACACGATTTGCAACTTTACAGCTAATGAATATTTTTTTAATTTTTTTTTATTTTCTGCAGGTTTCACCGGTTGAAACAAGGGACAAAACTGTATTAATATAGAAAACTATAGGTGTGAGTGGATCTGTTAGGGTTTTTGTCTAGTTTGCCAATTAAATTTTTTCTCTTGTTATAGAGTCTAATTTCCCATTATATTTTATCCTAGATCCGCCCAACTCCCACTATATAATTAATATATATATATATATATATATAATATATAGTGCTTTGTAAGACAATTATAATTATCATTTACTTTACCATTCAAGTTTTAAAGATATTTTGAAGAGAAATACTAAATTTTGACGTCACAAAAGTGAAAGCATATCTTAAACTTATAGAAAGTTGACCAATTCCAAGTACTTTTTCTTTCCAATATTTTTTCATATCTATACTATTAAAACACAAGGCCTTTTTTTGAGGTCCCCTTGATTTTTGGAAATATTTACAGATCTTTGCCACCGTATTATTTAAAACCTATAGTTTTTATTAATTATTTTTCCACCAAATCTTTTTCCACCAAATCTTTTTCCACCAAATCTTTTTCCAACAATATATTGCCTTGATTATCTCTCCATTTTAATTTTAATAACAATATTATAACACTGATTTAAACTACAAAATCAATATTCCTAAATGTCGGCAATTATGATGATAATTATAGAAATATCATGTTTATTAATTACCTTAATATATTTGCAAATTTTATTTATAATTTGCCTTTTGACTATATGGTAAAAAGTAACTATTCCTAATGATATAAAAAAGCATTTTTAAGCAAATACGAAAGTACTTAATGTTAAATAGTAATTTGCTGTTATATAACAGATTATAAAATCATGAACCAAACATTATATATGTACACCATTTATGCTAATAACTTATCTTTCAAGTAAATTTAANATTATAAAGAACTAACGAATTTAAGAGTATACATTTGTTAGAATGTAACAAATAAATTAATATGTGAGATAATCTCTTCAACTAGATAACTTATTAAGAATATTTCGTAATAGCATCATTTAAAATATTTCTCCTCTTTTCAATTATCTTCTTCATTACGACGAGATTTGCATCCAAACAAATATGAAAACAAATTTTAATCATATAAGAATAAAAATGGTGATATTAAGAATATAATCTAATAAAATGAATATAACTTGGATTATGCGGAGATTTCAAAATGATAACAAAACTTAATTGTTTTCATATTTATCTAAATGAATATTATCTTTTAATTTGAAATTAAAATAAATAGAAAGAAAATATTGTTTGGTTTATACATTTCAAATTAATAGTTTTGCCTATCATATCTAACTATAGTTGTATTTAATCAAATTACTTTATTTATATATTAACAAAAACTAAATTCTCATTGTTTCCCATATGTTTTGGCATATACTTTTATTTTTATATATTAAACTTCCTTTACTATATATATGAGTCATATTATGTTCTCTACTATGAATATAGCTTAAGTTTAATATATATAAGGGTCAAAATTTTCATTTGTTATAGTTTACGGACAAAAATTCATTTTTCATATGTACTGGAATAAGATAAACTTTTTTTAATGTGTTCATTTTCTACAGGTCAAAAAATATTTATCAAGTTACAAACGGCTTGAACAAATAGATTGTTCATATCTATTATGAACTAACAAACGGGTTAATAGTATTATTAACAGAAAACAATTCTGCACTATCAAAGTGCGGGTCAAAATCTAGACTATTATATTGTAAACATATATATGTGCCAAACTCGACTGTCTTAAACTAGGATTGTGCCATTGAAATAAATATATTTAATATTTAATTTATTAGATGTAGTTATTATTTAGGAACATTATTTTCCTCCCTATTAATTAACCTAACAAATATTATTTTTTGTTAAATGCATCTTTGATTGAAAGCATATATTCTTATTTGGAGTATTTATTTTAGAAAGTGAATCTTTGTTTATCAAGTAGCAATAAATATTTCACATCATAAAATGAAGTTTTTATAATTAAACTTCTTAAATTTTTGGTTTCAATTAAAATCAGATAAATACACCAAATTATGATTCTTTCAATATATATATATATATATATATATATATATATATATATATATATATCTATGTGTGTGTGTGTGTTGTTAACTAATTAAAATTTTATGCATAATTTTTTTTTGAATGTAAAAGTTCGAAATGAATTGTCAACCTATTTTTAATATACATAAAATCATATCTAACATTTTTCTTCTACATCACGGTTTCTACCAAGTAAATAATAGCGATCATAAAAAAAATAAAATTTAAGTCTAAATCAAAAATAAAACCAGTAATAAATTATCAATAATAAAAATTAAATAATACTGAAAAATGAGTAAATTTTTTTGGTGTTCTCTATCGCCTTTATCTTTTTTTTTATCAGACAACATAGTACTTCTTTTAGTAAAGAATCAAAAATCAAATATACTATTCAATTTCATGTACTCATTTTAAAATATATAAAATTTTGATCAATCTTTTTAGATCACCAATTTTATCTTAGTTTTACACGGGCCAGTCAGTGCTAGGTGAGATGTTACTAACGTATTTTGGATTCTTACCAAATTTTATAGAAATTTTAAATAGCGGTGAATTAGTTAAATCCGAACTGAAATATATACATATCACTAAGTTTACTTGCTCAATCTCAAACCCGTGTCGGGTATGAAAACACTGCTCAACACAATTATAAATGTATTAAGTTGCAAAATTTTAACACATGTAATTTTATAATTATCAAATCTTTGTTTCGTATAAATCAATTTATAAAGAAAATATATCCCGCTCTTGAAAAGATATGTGGTAGTCGCATGTCCAAGATATATTAAAGAGATATTGTCGGTATATTTGTGTTGGGCTTGGGTCGTTAATATGATGTATTGATTTATTTACGGGCTTGCAATAATCATTCGCGGTTGTATTTTGAATTTTTATGTTATTTTCTTATATAATTGTTTTGATAATCATATTTTTAAACACACTATATAATACAATGTCAATTTTTATGACCATAATTTTAAAATAAACAGTCGGTTGTATCTCTATTTATTTNCTCATAATTTCACCGGGTCTCTAAAATTTGTTATCTAATAAGAAAATTTAATCTTACACCACACATTAAATTGTATGTAATCGTATTTAATCTATATATGGTGGACCAAACCAAAATTATTAACGACAATCTATCTGAACCCGGATACTCATGTCTATACATACTTGTGAATAATCAAACAAGAGAATAAATTTAAAGCAAAAACGGTTGTCCCGCCCTCTTTAAGGGCGGGTCAAAATCTAGTTTTCCTTAAGATTGTTCCTTAAATGATTTATGTTCTAATCTAACAAATGGACTGTTGTCAAAAAGAAAAAAAATAGATTATCTTGGTTTAACTCCGGTTTGGATGACGCTAACCCTAAACATCTCGTCCGGTTCGGTCTTAATTAAGCAAAAACAGAGAAAAACCAAACCATGTGATGAAAAGTAAAGTTTGGTACTTTATAATAACCCCACAAGGCCACACAACTTTCTCTCTCTAAAATCTAGGAATAGAGGAGAAGATTATTAAAACTGCCCATCTAAATTCTGCGGCAAACGCGGAAAGCAAGGAGACGAAGAAAAGAAAAAGAAAAGCCCTCACCACCACCTTCGTTAAACAAAAAAGTATTTTTTTCTTCTTCTTTTTAGTTGGTTGCACGATCTCGTGTACGAACACGGAACACCGACCCAGAAGAAAAGGACTCGTAAATTCTGCAGCTTTACTAATCTCCCAGCGCTAAAATCATTGTCTTGGAAAAAAAAGTCGTTTGCTTTTCGTTTGAACAGTTATTCTCAAAACAAAGGTGAATTATTATTTCTCTGCTTTTTCTTTTAAAAACCTTTTTTTTCAAAATGATTTTGCTTATTGAAGTTTCTGATCGTGGGAGCCATTTAATCGGTAAATGCGAAAATGGGTTTCCTTCGAATCCGATTTTCTATAATATTCTTATTTTTTCCATTTTTCAGTAGAAACGTAAGAACTGGATCTCTTGCTTTATTTGTGGGTCGTTGGTTTGATTATATTCAGAAAAAGAAATGAATGCTTCAAGATGAAACTTCTCTTTAAATGCGATCCGTTTATTTATTAATTATTTAGAGAATCGCATTGTCTCCGTCTCTCGTGACATTGTTTGCTTAGTTTTCGAGTAATTAATAACTTCTTCCTGCTTCTGTTTATCAGATTTGATCTCTTGGTAAGCCAAGATCCAAAGCTGCTTAACTAGATTTTGAAATCTTTTGATAGGTATGTATTAGTGCAGAAATGTTTGTTTCAGTTACAGAAAACAGTTTAGTTTTGGCTTCCTGTGGAGGATAATGTTGTTTTTTAGTTTGAGTTCTGGTTTCTGTTAGTTGTTACCCTTGTGTTTAATCTCTTCTCTGATCTGTTTTTTTTTTTTTTTTTTTGTTGTTGTAATCAATGCAAAAATGAGACGCTTTATTGATTTGTTTTACAAGTTTAGTGACAGCAAACAAAACCTTTTTCTTGTTTGTATGTATAAAAATGACTTTATATGAAGTAGTAATTAATTTTTGGTTGTCTTGTGTCTGAAAATGTGAACAGGTTGTATCTTGTTGGGTGTGTAATTGATGGATGAAGATACCGTGAATCGCTTTGGGACGCCTGAAATGCAGGCAAGAAGAGATTCAACGGGGAAGGCAATAGCTTCAAAGCCTAAAGAGAAAGAGATTCCTCGTTACCTCAGAGCATCCACTGGTTCTTGCCATGATATCTGCAAGTACGGGAAGAGGCAGGTAACGTTGGAGAAACCGTGGCGTTCGACTAATAGAAAGATCTTCAAGAAAGGGAATGATGATGCTTTGGTCGAAACTTCGAAGCCTGGTTCTTCTAAGGCTACAAAAAAGAAGGTTATTACTGATGATGGTTCTTCTTCTTTTGAGATGATGATTAAGAGAGAGGTTGTGAAGCATCAAGTGAGTGGTGTCTCTAGTAAGACGAAGAAGGCAGAGGTGTTGATAGTACCATCTGGTGATGAAACTCCTTTGAAGACAATGAAGAAGAAAGTGACAAAACCTTCACCAGATTCGGGATCTCGTAGCGTTGATGCTCTGAAACCGAAGGTCTTGAAGAAATCTTACTCAGCACTAGCAACTTCCAAATATAAAGTAAACCATGAGAAAGTTGCTTCTTCATCGGTTCTGAAACCCAAAATGGGATCAAAAAGTGAAGATGCAAAGATGAAGAAGGCTACTGTGTCCTCCAGAGTTGTTTTAAAGAAGGTTCCTGTGACTCCAAGAGCTTCGCTTTCTCCAAGAGTGTCAATGAGATTAGCTGGAAGTTCAAGTTTGAAGAAGAGTCAGAGCTTAAAGGCTGCTGCATCATCCTCTTCTCGACCAAATCAGACACCAAGACATGTGAAGCGCACTGATGAGTCTAACAAACAGTTAGATGGTTATCCAGTGGAGGAGAAAACACTGCACGTTGTGGAGATGGAAACAAAGAGCAAAGGTGTCTCTGAAGATGATCAGAATCAGCAGTGCGTTGCTGAACCTTTTCCTCCTCTTCTGCAGACTCAATCAACTGAGAAAGATGAGGAGTGTCCTGTTTCAGAGACAGAGGAGTATGATTACCCTTCAGGAAGCAACGAAGCTGAGAGCGTAGAGGAAGAGACTGGAACGTCCAATGGAGAGAAGAAACCAATAGTGAGAAAGGAAGGAGAGTCTGCAGAGGAAGCTGCTCGGAAACTACATTTCAGAAGAGGAAAAGTTGTGGACGCTGATGATGTGGGTGAGCGTGCAAGGAAGCTCAAGTTTAGAAAAGGGAGAGATCTTGGGGAAGACAAAGAGCAAGATGCACAAGGAAGAAGAAGCTTTAAGAAGAGGGAAGACGTCAAAGAAGATGAAGAAGAGGATGAAGATGGTGAAAAAGTTGTGTTGAGGCATCAAGATGTTCAGGAGAAAGATGCACAGGGATTGCTCAACAATGTCATTGAAGAAACGGCGAGTAAACTTGTTGAAGCTAGGAAAAGCAAAGTTAAAGCTTTGGTTGGTGCTTTTGAAACTGTCATCTCTCTTCAAGAATCTAAACCTCCTGCTAACTCTGGTATGTACCTTGAGCATGAGCAAAAACGCTAACATTTTGAATCTTTGAGTTCTCTATTGATTTGGTTTTGGCTTTGTGTTGGTTTGCAGAAACTGGTAGTTCGAGCCCGGTTTGATATCGTTTCTGTTTGCTGAACTTCAAGAAAGATTGATGCATTCATACTAATGTCTCAGCCAAACATTGATATGATGCTTTGTGAATACTACCCTTGATGGATTGTGTTCTGTGTTTAGTTTTGGTTCTTCTGAACCTGTTTGTTGGTTTCATTTGGATGTTTTTTCGGTTTATGGTTCGGTTTGTACAGGCAAAAGGCTAGTTTTCTTTACTTTCATTTCTTGTTGGTAGTTGCAGTTTTTCTTTAAAAAGAATTCCGAACAAACCGGATAGTAAACTGTATTTTCTGGCTTTGCTATCGCACCGGTCCTTAATTTGTATATAAGCTACCACCAAGACACTTTTCATCTTACCATAGTTGAAGGTCATGTGTACTCATCCCATTCTTGCACAGTTGCAGACACTATTTGGAGTTGTTTACTAGGTGGAGATGAATCAAGTCATGTAGAAAGATTAAATGTCCATATCAACATAAACCTTTAACAATAAGAATAAATATCAATGGCGTTATGCATTATAGTGTGCATGTGTTGTATCAAGATATTGTTTACCTTCAAAATGCAATTTCGAGTGGAGGTCATACAACCACCAAGTAGTAATTGGCACCAAGACGTAAACACTTTGCGTGGACAACAGTATCATCAACCTTATGGATCTTAATTATATAAGTATTCCCAGTGACTAAATCTGTCAAAATTGTTTCCTAAAAAGAGAGAAACAAATCATATCATATACACTTGCTCTTATGCATCTGAATCCATGAGTCCTTCCAAGCTGAAATATGGTTTAGTTTGGAATCCACCTCTGGTTGAATGGGTTAAAATGAAACCATAATGCTAGTTTTCATGATGTAAATGTGTCGGTGGGATCATCTTGGATCGTGTTGCAGACAAGGATGAACATCGGGAGCTTCTAACTTACTTTGCTTTAGCTAAGGTAACCAACTCTTTATTTTGTCTGCTTCAGAAAATATCTTTCACATTTTAATATTTTTGAAGACTATTTTTTTTTTCTTTTTGTAATTGTCAACATTTTTTTAATAAATTGGAATTCAGCTATAATGGAGACAAACAAAGTGGATGAAGTTTTCTTTTCTTTTTTTTTTTTTTGAGTCGAATAAAATGCGCCGTCGCCGTTAACGGAGTTCACCAACTCCATCCAATCAAACGGGTTAGCCACACAGTACACCTTACCATACCCTAATATAACCCCTAGAATCGCAGACAAACATACATTTCCCACTTACATTAGAAAACAATTCAGAAAAGAAAAAAATAAGAAAGAAGCAGATTTGCTTTGCTTCTTCTCGCTCGCTAAGCCTTTCTTTTCTTTGCATGCATCACCTCATCTTCTTCATTCTTTAAGCAAAGTTAAAAACTTTTCAATCTGGGTATTGCTGGAAGTATCTAAAACAGTTGAAATGTTAACCCTTTTCTCCTTTCCTTTTTGTTTCTTGGTCGCTCGAGCAAAACCCTAAATCAGTTTACTCTCGATTCCACTTAAAAGCTCCCACCTTTACAGTTTATTGAAGCTCTTGTGTAATAGATTTAAGGTGAGATGTTTTAGATCTTGGCTATTTTGATTTGGGTTTATGACAAAGAAAACGAATTTGTTTATATAATCACGATTTGGTTACTTTACCAATTAGTTAAAGTTTCCTGCTTTTATTTTAATGCAAACTGTTTGCTTCTTTGCTAGGCTTAGAGGATGATAATAGCGAAGCAATACCGTTGTATTCACTCTGCCACTTGTCATTGTACGAAAGGACATCTTAGTGAAGAAGTACTGTTCCTTATGGTTCAGCATCTAAACTGGAACCCTAATGTAATCGCCACTCTGTCTTGTGTCTGTAAATGGTTCGATGATCTTGCTAAGAGACTACTTTGGAAAGAGTTCTGTAGAGCCAGAGCGCCCAAGATGATGTGTGACTTACAGTCTAGTGGTAGCCACAGTGTTGATGGTAGTTGGAGAGCACTTGGGAAGCTTTTGATTTACTGCTCAGGGTCAAGTAAAGGTGGACTCTTTAACGATGTTCAAGTCCCTGGTCACTTTGTTCACAGGACCCGTTTCTCTAGGACTTCGGGAAGAAGCTTCCTTCCTCTGCAGTGTCGGAACGATGACATTCTCTATGTTTCTGATCCTTGTGAGCATTTGGATCAAGGAGGAGGAGGAGAAGATGGTGATTTGGGATTCTTCCGTGGGATTTTCAAATCGTTTTCAATGTCAAAGGTGAGGAAGTTGCTTATTAGGAAAGGTACATCGTTTCATCCCACAGAGGTTTGTCCTTATTGCAAAGCCAAGCTGTGGAGTATGCTTCAGGCGAGGATGATACCTCAGAGTGCTAGCTGTAGGTTGGGGGCTTATGAAGATAGCATTGAGTATTATGTTTGCCTCAATGGACATATGCTTGGAGTTTGTACTCTCTTACCTTTGTCTGATTCTGAAGGAGCATCTGAGTTTCAGTGAAGCTGTGGGTAAAGGTTATGGTGTAATCTCTGTTTCTTTCTGCTGGTGAATTGTTGTTACTCGACTTGGGAACATCGGTATGGGCACTTTTCACAGAGCTGGTGTGAAGTGTATGTGCAGTGTTCGAGAAAGAGAGCAATTTCAGATTCACAGATTCTCTATCTAGAATTGTTGTGTAAACCATTTGTTGTCACAGTGCATGTATGTGTATGAACAACATTTACTTCTGCTAAATAAATTTAGGAACTCTTCTTTGGATGTCTTGTTTACCCATCTTATAGTATATCAGTGACAAAAAATGATACAAAAACCTATAATAGTTCTTGATGTAACTTAGGTTCATAACACATCGTCAAGCTAAATCTTTGATTAGCCTGAGTTACTTCTGAACTCGACTGTGCTATGAGCTGGTTTCTTTCTCAATCCAACATCCTCCATCATTTTTCTCACCTTCTCCATATCTTTCCATCGTCCCAAAGCCGCATAGATATTCGCCAACAACACATAGTTTCCTGTGTTCTCTGGTTCTTGCTCAAACAGCTTGTTTGCTGCAACTTCTCCAAGCTGGACATTCTCATGTGTGACACATGCAGCGAGCAATGCACCCCAAACAGTTGAGGTTGGTTCAAATGGAATTGTTGTAATGAGATTGTAAGCTTCTTCTAACCGACCTGCTCGACCAAGGAGATCAACCATGCAAGTGTAATGGTTTGGTCGAGCTATCTTCTTGTGATGCTCAAGCATAAACCTGAATAACGCTAAGCCTTGTTCGACCAAACCGGAATGGCTGCAAGCGTTTAAGGCAGAAGTAAATGTAATTTCATTTGGCGTCACACCAGACCTAACCATCTCCATGAAAACTTGCAGCGCGTTATGGCCATCTCCGTGCATCCCGTAACCAGAGATTAATGCACCCCATAGAACTATATCTTTTCTCTTGTGTTTCTCCTGGATCCCATCAAATACCTTGTGGGCAGATTCTAAAGTTCCACACTTTGAGTAAACATGAACCAGCCCTGTAGCTGCATCAAGGCTTGACATAAACCCGGTTTTGGTTAGGTAGCAATGTATGTCCATTGCTTGGCGCAGATCTGCCAAAGCTGCATACGCTGGAAGGAGACTGTTTAGTGTGGCAATGTTCGGTTCACCATCTACCCGTCGCATCCCTTTGAAGAGATCCAACGCGTCACTCATTAGTTCATTATGTACACAACCGGAAATAATCGCACTCCAGGGACCTGCATGTTTTTTTGAAGCCCCGGAGAAGACTTTGAAGCAAAGGTCTACTCGATTGCATTTCGCATACATGCTGATCAAAGAAGTTTCTATGATGACACTGGAGAAAACCCTTTGCCTAATTGCCCAACCATGTAAGCATTTACCATCATTCATCTCCAAAGCATCGCCGCAAGCTGAAACAAGACAGGCTATAGTCACATCATTAGGTCTCACACCTTCAAACTGCATCAACCTACACAACTCCAAAGCGTTCTTCACGTCCCCTTCTTCTGTATATCCGTTAATCATACAAGTCCATGCGATCACATCCCTGCGTTCCATCCTATCAAACACAAATCTCGCCTCGTCCATACGACCACATTTCAAATACATATCCACCAACGCATTCTTCACCTCTATCTTATCCCCTAACCGCTTCTCTTCCACAATCTTATGAACACTCCTGCCCATTTCAAGATCCTTCAAGTGACCACAAACAGGCAACATGGAAACAACAGTAGCGTGATCAATATCAAAACCCTCATTAACCATCAAATCAAACGTCATCAAAGCATCATTCATGTAACCATTCCTATAATACCCACTGATCATAGTGTTCCATGAAATCACATCTCTGTTCATCATCACATCAAACACTCTCCTCGCCATCTCAACCCTCCCAAAGCTCATGTACATTGCAAGCAACGCGTTCTGCACATACTTATCAGTACCAAACCAGCTTCTCAAGACCCTCCCGTGAACAGCCAACCCTAAAGGCACAGACTTTAACTCTCCAGCAGCTTTGGCAACAAAAGGGTACGTATACCCATCGGGACAACACTTAGTTCCCTCGCCGACCATCTTAACGAACGTGTTGACAGCGTCTTGATACAGCCCGTCGCGCACGTACATTCTGATTACGATGTTGTAAGAAAGCAGAGAGCTTTGAGGCATTACGTCGAACAGCTTGCGTGCATAGGCGATGTGGCCGCAAAGAGCGTATGTGACGGAGAGGGTCGAGAGAATGTGGTCGGACACTCGACCGTTGGTGACGACGTGGCAGTGTAGAGCCTTGGTTTTGGAGAGTGATTGAGTAGCTGCATATTGGTTCAAGAGAGATTGGTACTGCTTGACGCTAAGTGAGTGTTTGGCTCTGCGCAAAACTTCACTCATTTGAAAATACTGAGCCAAGTGATCTCATAACGCTGTCGTTTAGTGCTATTTAACTACGGCGTTTAATAGAATTTAACTTTGCAGGCTTTAATCTTGATTCTTTAATACAAGTCATACGGTGTCGTTTAATACAATTTAACTTCGTAGACTTGTGTTTCAAGCACTTGTACTTCTTCTTCTTAATATGATTTATGAGATCCAAAATCATAGCAAACGATTCAGATTATATATTAGGATCAAGGGTCATCAAACCAAAGCGATTGATAAAGTTACATAGTACTGATCTAACAACAACAATCACCAGTCTTTTCCACACATTTGTAAGAGTTTTAACTAAACAATAAAATCCTGAGAATGCAAATCATCATTCATCATCACTCTCATTGATCAATTTCATGTTCTGTCGTCGGCAAGTATCTTATATATCAACCTGAGGGATTCTACCACCAGCTTGGACAATCTGCTGCTCAAGCTGCAAAAAAAAATAACAATAGGTAAATTATTCATGAATCAGAACGGACAAAAAAAATCTATCTTCTTTCACAGTTTCGCATAATCGTTTCTTCTAACTTACACTGAACAAGTCTTGAAGCTTTGCCTTTAATGACTTGTACTCAATATCCACCTGCTGCAAACATCTTACACACCTGAAGCAGAGATTGTTCCCCAAAATTAGTCTCTAACAATGAACAACTGAACATAGCAGAAACATGAGATCCGAAATGAGCTCACCCTTCAAAGTTCTGAGAGTCACAACACTCCTTGAAGGTAACACAAAGACCTTTGACCCTTTTGGCACCAACACTACATAAAAACAAGAACGACCTCTTCAGTAGGACTAAGTACGAGATTAGAGACAAAGGACTAAGTAACATTACCTTGAGCTGCTACCTTTGAGTTGATGAACACTAGAACCTACCAGATTGAAATCTACGTTTCCTGTCTGATCTCTGAAGTATGTACAAAAACAAATATGAAACCAAACATGTTTTTGATGATACTAGTGGAACAAATGTCAAAAGAAAAAAGAAAACTTACAGAGCTCTAGCCATGTTACCGATAAGCTTCTCACAGTCTTCAAAGAAGAGAGAAACAACCTCAGCCACAAAATCAGGGCTGCATTCATCTTGCAGCTTTTTCAATTCAGTGAACTGATCATCCAGAAACCCCTTCACATACCAAAACAACTAATTTCAGAAACCAGAGCCTTCATTTTCAAATTCAAGTTCTCAGTAAGAATGCTAAAATATAGAAGGAGACACCTCTGGAAAAAGAGACAATAACCCTATTCACAGACACTTAAAACCATTCTTCAATCCTCAATTTCCAAATTCAAGAACCCTAACTACTGTAGAGGAGGATCATAGCTAAAAAGGAGTCACCTTTTGATAAATAAACAATAACCCATTTCACACACTTAAACTAACTCTTTAACCCTCAATTTCCAAATCCAACCCTAACAACTTTAGGGGATCATCTCTAACAAAAAGGAGACACCTTTGAATTCATTTTTATACCTAGATGCTAAAGTTTACCAACTTTATCTGTAAGTTTGTGAGGAAAAGCGAAGAAGAAACCTGGTGATAGAGGGAAATTGTGTAATCACGAAATTGTCTCTGCAGCTGAGCAACGAGTGTGTCCATGGTTACTTGTGAGTTGTAGCGATGAAGGAGATGGGAAAAGAAACGAAAATGAGCAGCTTTCTCTGAATTTTTGGACTTGAAACGCTAATCCCAATAAAAGAGATTCTTATAAATCATTACTTTATTGGACAAAACATAATAAAGAAATACTCATTACTTTATCCAATAAAAGGAATAAATGATTAGTTGTCAAATAAAAGAGACAACCTTGAGAAAGTGAGAAAGATTTGATTTCGGCCATGAAAAACGGAATCTCATTCATTCATTCATTCTATTATGCGCTTCTATTCTTCGTTTTCCAAAACGTTGAACCCTTAGCTGTGAGATCAAACCACCGACACGACACCAAGCATCTCCCACGCTGGAAGATTCTCTGTAGGAAGAGATGTCATCTAAAGCATCACGACTCTATGGATGGCACTCGAGAACATCGGTTTGATTCTTAATTTGAACCTAAGTTCAGAGACTGATGTATCAAAAATGGATGAACTCAATTGAATTATCTCATAAATTCTCCACTCAAGCAAACACTATTTCTTTTGCATTCAAAACTTTATTGTATGATGCCCCAAATTGTTCCATGTCAGTCGATCATATTTCAACTTGTTCTTAACTAAATTAATTATTAATGATGTCAAAAACAAACAAAAAAACTAAATTAATTATTAATAAAAAGAAGAAAATTTTGGAAAAATACATTTATATAAAATTTTCATTTGAAGATTACACTATTATTTAATCTTTTTGAAAACTACATTTTTATATATGTAAATTAACTAAATTATCCAATACACGTATGTAAAAATGGTTGTCTATTTTTTCTTCTAATCTATCCGACATCATCTCTTTCAATTGGAAATTATACAGATAATTAAACCTAACCAAACAGGTTTTAGTTATACATAAATGATTTTATTCAACAATCAACATGCTGTTTTTAAATAAAAAAAAGTATACGACGATGAACAATTAGTATCTTCTAAACTGCACAGCTAATGACATAAGAAGGAGCTATGTTTTATTCACGAAAAATAGAGAAAATCTCATTTAAAAAAACAGTGGAAATATGTTTTATACACAGAAATAAGGTCCAAGATATAAGCATACGAGCAAACCAACACATACATAAACCAAAATAACCACAACATATTCATGATTTAATAATTGAACATAATACTAAAGTGCTATACACAGGAATACGACCTAACATTAAAGCACCACCTCAGAAGAGACCAAAAATACTCAATCCCAAATTCGAATCACGAACAATGCATACATGAAAAGTCACGTATGTAGCACTCTCAACAAATTCATCAATGGAGTGTGTTTCTATTCCAAACACTTCTCTAAGATCCAACGAAGTCATCAATGGAGTGTGTTTCTATTCCAAATACTTCTCTAAGATCCTATGACCTTCAAACACAATGAACTTTAATTTCTTTTGGAATACAATGTTTGTTTTCACCCTTTTAAGAATTATGAAAATATGAACATTTTTCAAACCATAAGAATGAACAATGGAGAAATGTGAAGATTCTGGTTAATAATCTATATGGTTTAAGTTTTTGTGATTCAGCTAAACATTAAGTTGTCGATAATATTTAGTTTCAAAAAAAAAAACTCCAAAGCAACATAAACATACACAAAGGCAAAAAACAGATAGTCGTTATTATATTATTAATATTTTTGTATTTCATAAGTATGTTTTATCTCAAAAAATAAATAAAATTTTTGGTTTAAAACTTTTTAGTTTAAAACAAAATTTGGATATAGAGGATTTTTCACAAGTAAGAAAGTCTAGTTTTCAAAAGAGAGAAAAAAACAAAGTGTATGATTCAAAATTAAAATCGTAAATAGGGTATTTGTAAAATTATCCCTAAAACAAAACATATTACATACCTAAGTAAATTTACAAATATAAACATAAAGAATAACACATGTTTGAAAAATAAATTTTATAATAAGAAATTAAAAATTTCTAAAGCTATATTAAAATAGCTAAGCCTCCATGCATCTCATAATTCTAAAAAAGCTCAATTAGTAAGTAGTTCAGGCTCAATTTTGATTTATTCGAGATTCGAATGGTGTCACAAATCAGAAAATGCAGAATAAAAAAATAAAACAGATAAAATAAATAATGTATAATAAATACATATAAAATGATCAAACTAATTTACTGAGCTAACATAATTGAATGAATATTGAAAATAAAAATCATCAAAATTAAATATCCAAAAAAATTCTAGGGACAATTTCACTTATATCACTTTTCATGTTTACCATTAGCAAATGACCATTTTCAAAAATACACTTTTCATTAAAGGATAAAATACTCTTATACTCTTGTTATATATATATATATATATATATATATATATATATATATATATATATATATATATAAATATATATATATATATAATAAATATTTTAAATAAATAAAAAACATAATTTTTTTTTTTTATTTTCGAATTATACTATTTCGAAATTCAAACCCTAAACCCGAACTCGAAACCCTAAACTCTAAATTCTAAACCCTAAACCATAAAACCTAAACCCTAAACCATAAAACCTAAACCCTAAATTCGAAATCTTAAACCCGAAATTCTAAACTCTAAACTCTAAACCCTAAACCCTAAGCCCTAAATTCGAAATCTTAAACCCTAAATTCTAAACCCTAAATTCTAAACCCTAAGCCCCAAACCCTAAACCCTAAAATTATAAACCCTAAATCCTAAATTCGAAATCCTAAACCCTAAATCCTAAACCCTAAATTATAAACCTTAAACTCTAAACCCTAAATTTTTAACCATAAATCCTAAATTCTAAACTCTAAACCCTAATTTATCAAAACCTTATTAAAATTGTTAAGTTTAATTAGTTAAGGGTATAATAGTATTTTGCCTTCTAAAATTTTAATGGTAAAGTTGGTTAGTGTAAAGTTGAAAAGTGGTATCTTGAAAGTGTTATTTCTAGCAATTTCCCAACCAAATTCTATATGTAAACTATAAATATTTATTTAATAAATACAATGAAATTTTAATATTATATAAAATTTAATACAATTAAACATACAATAGAATTGGAAAATAAAAACTAGTGTAAAGAATCATCCATTTTTTTTTCAAATTCCAAATATCCTTTTATACCAATATACAACAATGCATGATATAAATTAAGTAACTTTTGTTTATTTCTGGGAAGAGGACCATTTTCGAATTTTGACATATGATATCTAACAACCACATTTCTTGAAGATTCATATGGATTTAAACAAAAACTTTTATTATTTAGATAACCAAAATCAACTACATAATACTTATCGGCTAGAGATAAAGAAAAATCATAATAGTTGGCATGCACTATTCGGATAACTACTATCATGACATGAACGTGGTGCTCCACTCCAAACATATGAATAACATATATAAATCACATATCACACGTACATTGAATGATATTATATTGTGTTAATCCTTATACATTCATTGCATTCATGAATCTCTTTAAAACAAACATCTACACCATCCATGGCTCTAAACTGCTTATTTACAAAATTCTACAGTTCAATCTTCTTCTCATAACTTAGATGATGAACGCCATGTGTCGTAGTTCAATCTTCTTCTCATAACTTAGATTATGAACGCCATGTGTCGTAACTGACATACACAAAGACCTTAAATTTTATAAACATGAAGTAAGACTTTAATTTAATTTGAAGCATTATGTAAACATTAAATCAAATTCATAAACAATGCATAAATTTAATATCTACTATAAAAACATAAATTGAAACATAATATCATTGTTAATAACAAAAAAAAATAAACCTCTCTAAGCTAATATTCATTCTCTGATTCACTTTGCAGACTTTTATTTAAATTTGATATTTGTTTTTTTTTTAAATATTTAATAATCTTAATTATACTCTACATGTTTTTTGTATTTGTGATCCTAAAAATAATCCGTAAAACCAAAATGTGGTGATACTCTCCTATGAATTTTTGCTAAGGTCCGTCATTCTGCCTTCGGTGAATCCAATACCGGGTCTGGATACAAGCTATAGAAGCTTTTGCTTCGGTCCTAAAATAATATAAATCTCTTGTAGTTCAGTGGCTTATGCTTGTCTTTAGTGTGTTTAGGTGAGTGGTTCTAATCTCTGAAGCCATTCTTTTTTTTCTTTCAGTTACTTAATAACAAATCCAATATTTCTTTTGTTCTAGACCTTTATTCTTGCGAGTCTGGCCTCAGTGGATTTATTTGTTGATATTTTGGTGTTTTTCTGTTTTAGTTTCCAGTGTTTTTCTTTGTAGAAAATTTGAAGGTGTGCCCCACACATTTGATGATGAACTCATATGTTGAGTATTTGAAGTGTACCCCACACATTTGATGATGAACACATTTATGAGTATTTGGAGGCGTTTGTTGAACATCTGACAATGAATCCGTACGTTGAGCATTTAAAGATGTATCACATTATGGAACATTTAATGATATATCCAATTAGTGAGCATTTGATGGTGTATAAAATTGTGGAACATTTGATAATGAAGTTCATTTCTGAGTATTCGAAGGTGTAAAAATTGCTGAGAAGCATGATCTCAATGTCCACCTGAAGTTTGACCCCATAAATTATTACCACCAGAAGATGAACTACCATAAAACACACATAAATTTAATGGAGATTACTTTGATACCTGTTTGAAGTTCCCTTTTTTTCTCTCTCTTTTTAACGCGTATTTATCTTTGTATTTTCATTGGTTAGTTTTAATTTATCGCCAATAAAAATATAACTAAATAAATCTTAGAAGATTTTGTCTACTTAAGTAAATCTCAAGAGATTATCTCTATCATCTTAAGTCCACGTGCACACTTACCATATTAATCTGTGTAATTATCTGACCGCAATACATCCCGATCAAACAAGTTTTGAGTTTCTTATTTTTATCCATATCAGCAAAACTTGGGATTCAAGTTTCATTGGAGAATGTAAAAACATATAATGTAAAATTTATTTCAAAATTTTAATTTTATAATATATTATTTATCATTTTAAATATATACTAATATAATATTATATAGATAACAATGTTAAGAGGATTTTTGAAAAACCTAAAACAAAATCAGATAGTTGAATTTATTCCTAAAAAAATATTTTGCACACATACTTTTATAATTATTTCTATTTTCAGAAATAATTTACATATCTAAGAAATTTT